GCTGGGCCCCTCGGGCGCGGCAAGGTCGAGAACACCCAAACGCCATCCGTCCATCCAGTAACGGTTCGGCATCAAGACCGCTCTTCCCAACGTTGTGCCCATTTTGACGGACACGGACAGCATCCTGCTGGAGATTCTCGGCGGCGAAAAGCCAGCGCCCTTGCTTGCAGAAGCAAGCCTGAAGTTGCCGGTGGAATTAACAATCTCGGGCTCTCGGGGCCCCGCGATGCTTAAGCTGCAGCAGTTGCGGGGAAAGTTCGGTGCTCTCCCGGACGAGTGCAGCAGGCTCAAGATCCTCGGCGTGGTTTGTTTGGCCGTCAGGAGGTGCGACATACTCCTGGATTCCGACCACCAGATCCAGAAAGCTAAAGGCGTGCCACAAAGGTATTGGAAATCTGGGCACAACACACCGAAAAACCACGCGGCATGCATATTTTACAGCGTTGGCCTGGGCAATGCATGCCAAATTGTCTCATGCTTGTCATGCAATGCAAATCTGACCACACTCAGCGGCATTTGAAACCACAGACATTGCCCACCGCGTGTATTTGCCGCATTTTGTTGGGTTTATAGCGCATCAGCCCCGAAGAGCCAGCATCATGAGCATCATGGGGCCTCTTGGGGCTTCCAACTTCCTCCTTGGCACCGGATATATAAGGTTCCTCTTCCAAACTTTCAGTAGACTTTGCGCGGTTTCGTGTTTTTTGATCATGTTTTGCTTGGTGATTTTTTGCTGACGCCGTGTTGCGGCACTGCCGGCCTAATGTTTCGTCGCTAGCACCTATGTTTATTTCGCAATACGCAAATATGTAGGGGCGAACCCCACATGCCATGCCTCAACGCCCCTTACCACGCACGCCCACACGCCCTGGATCCGCAATTCCTGCAATGTGTTTTGGTCGTGTTACGTTTGTCGCTATTGCTGTGGCAATTTCCGCTTTGTCCCTTGAGTTCCTTCGTCCCGACCCTGCCGCTGGCCGCGCACCGCATCTTGGCGTGGCACGTGGCGTTCCCCCAGACGCGTGCGTTTCTTGCGAACAAACATGGGTGTATGCGTTCAAGCATCATGACCGGCAGTCGCGCGCGACACAATGTCACAAACTTGTCGCGAAGCGTTACCACACCAAGCTGCACGAACCGGGAAATCGGGGACGCGGTGGCGGCCAGCAGGATTGGGACAAAGCAGCTCGAGCAACAGGGCTCCGAACTGCGCAAACGCGAGCGTGCGGTATTCGTGTACCCGCACACCCCGCGCGCTTGAAGGTCCAGGGTTCCGGGTTGACGGCGCAAAGTAACAGGCCAAACCCTGGCCCAAGAAAACATACGCATCAAGAAATAATTTGACAAGGCGGCTGCGCAGCCATCGGTTGCTGGGAAACCACACATCGACCAGCGAAGGCACGATGGTTTATTGAGACAACGCACTGTTTTTTTGGGGGGCGGTGGGAGTCAATGGGCGTCTACTTCTGCTGAGCTTTTGGCAATGCTTGCAGCCCTACGGGTGTTCGGCCATTTGGAAATCGACACGAGTCGGCGGAGCTTGATAGTAGAACTAAAAGCAAAAGCAAGCAACCGTGGCACCAAGACTTGCTGGCAAAGAAGTCAACAATTCGCTGGCCGCTTCTTCTGACCAAAATGCAGCTTTCAGATCTCTTGATGTGCAAACAGGATCACTTTACTTGTAACATCTGCACCCTGAAATGTATTCCGGTGCTATAGGTCTTTGTTAGCTTTGTCCAGTCCATCCCCCCAACCCCCACCTACCCAAGCCATGCCCCTCGCCCCTCACCATCAATTTTTTTGGCCAGGTAATCGGCGTCAAATTCATTCTCGTTCCCCAACAAAATACAAGACACATCTCGGTCGCATGCTCTAAGCGACGGCATAGAAAAAACGGCTGCCGTTGGAGAATGTCCATGTTGTTCTTTGATGTCCGGGTCCTGTGCCATGCTAGATGTCAACTACACGTGCAATTCGACGTGATGCCTAATATGCAAAGCTTACGTTGCTCCTGGCACCGCTTGCCGCCGCGCCAGCTCCGTCCGCGTCTTTCTGGTCGGCCTGTCACCCGAACTGTGCAGGTGGCCCCTCCTGCGATTTCCATCGGAATTTTTTTGCCTAACAAACCTACCCAAATCGTCGCTCCAACCTATCCCATCCCCTCCCGCCTCTGCCCCTCCCCAGCCTCCCTTCGCCCCAGGCCATCCCAGGCCCTCCATACCAAGCCCGACAAAGGCAATTAAATTCTAATACAAATGTTTGAGGACACGTTAGCAAGCGATTCAAGTACTGCATAATTTTTTTGGCTCATCGCAGCATGCTTTTGGAAAAGTTTTTTGCCTTGTTCTACCCCTTGTCTTGTTCTCGGCCGCCAGCTTGTTGCCTGTTTTTTTGGGTCGGCTGGTCAGTCCAACTGCCACTCTGACGGTAGCTGTTCTATGTTTGCGAGAGCAATTCTGACCGTGGCTCGAGCGGGCCGTGGCGGCGCCCGGTGGCCTCAGCATTATTTTTTTGACGCTTGGTAATTTTTTAATTTTTTCGTGATATCAGAGGACTTTACGCAGGTTCCAAGCACAACGTCAACCCCCTTCTTTGGCCGAGCAACGGAGACCTTGAAGCTCATGTCTGCGAAAGTGCGACTCAAGTAGTCCAAATTAAGGATCACGGTGTCTGGCAGCTTTGAAACTGTGCTCGCGGTGACAGCGGCCTGCCAACTGCAAAGCGGTCCCAAGCGGGGCTTAACCCAAACTAACAGGCGTGCAACGAACCCTAGTCTGCCTAGGAACTCCCTAAACCGCCTTACCACCTGCACCACAAAACATGCCTTCCTGTCTGCCAGGCCCCCCTTGAAGGAGAAAAACCCACGCGGCCCTTTCCATAGTCAAGTTCGTAGCCAACGAAGGCAACTAAGACAACTGTGTGCCCCCCTACATTTTCTATAAGCAAAGGGTGTGCCAATGGCTTCGAACATGGCCAGCCACATCCACATCAGCAACAAGACGAACTTTCGCTTCCCCCCCGTGGAGGTCGTCAACAAAGCACATGCACCACGCAACGTGCCACACATCTCCCTATGATGCCAAACAGTCGAGACCAAAGGAAAGACGAGGACGTTACCCCGAACGCGCCAACGCGGTCGTGTCATAGCTGATTCATAGTTGTGTCTGGTCCATTCTTCCTCTGACTCGTCAAGCTTGCGGGCTTTGCACTTGGGTTCGTAAACCTGCGGGATACGCGGCGCCGGCTTGTACTGACTCCACTGGAGTAGGCATCAGGAACGTTCTCGATAACACCCCAGTCAGGGTCTTGTAGGACCTTGTAGGAGCTTTGCTGTCAAGGCCAGTGCATGCAGGCAAAACGGTTGTGACTCCGGAACCCTGCCGAGTTCCTGCTGCTTAGAACCCATAGCCATTTCAAACATCGTGAAGGGCGATTGCTTGCTTGCATCTGCCCAGCGCCAACTCACAAACCGTCCTCTGTGGATCCCCCACAGTGTCCGTGATGAATCCCTCTAGCACCTTACGCATGGCCTACCCTTGAGCCTCCTGCCCCTCGGTTAGCTGGCATCCGCGCCTAACCTTGCCTGCGCACCTGTAACTGCACTTGGACCTGCGCTCGCGCACGGGCTCCACGGGCTGCGGGAACCTGTGAATGCATCTGGACCGCAGGACTAAACCCTAGGGGGTTAGGGCTCGGCAACTTGATGGCTAACCTGACCTAAAGGCTGAGCACACGCGGCATCAATCACATGACTTGAGTTTCCTGGTCCCCGTCATGCATAGGACAGAAAACTACCAGACCCCTTTTTGATGACCGGATTCCTGAACCTGCGCACCTCGGACCTGTTGCACCTGCGCCTGCACCTGAAATAACTGTACCTGACCTTGCCTGCACTCGGGTTGCACGGGACGCGCGGGTTGCACGGGGATATGGACCTGTTGACCTGTGATTGCACTGGAGCTGTGCCTGACCTCGTTCTGTTGCACCTGTTGCACCTGTGATTGCACCTGGACCTGTGCCTGGCCTTGGTTCTGTCGCACCTGAGCCTGCGCCTCTTGAATCAGTTGCACCTGTGATGGCCCCTGGACCTGCGCCTGACCTTGCCTCCGTTGCACCTCAACCTGTGCCTGAACCTCTTCGCGCACCTGCACTGGCTGACGCTGCAACTGCGCTGGCTTTGGGACGCAGGATAACCCCAACCCCCAACGGAGCAGAATCCAAGAGATCATGAGCAATCCAGTCACACGTCAGCGGAGGGTATGCTGCCCACGCCGAAACTGCGCGGCTCACGAGAGCTCATGTTTATCACATGGGCGCCTGGGGGACAGTGGTCCCACATACCTGCTAGCGGAAACGAGGCCATGTCGCAAAAGGCTGCTGAAGAAACGCACGCAACGTCGTGAGGAACCTGGTAGGCTTAGATGTTGGGGCTCCAAACGTGCACTGGAAAATTGCAAACGTGACTGCGTGTGTCTGAACCTGCAACTCGTGGATCTCTGGCCATTGCCAGATCGACGCCGGACCTTCTTTGGAAGACGCGACGCCCAAACCCTCTGGACGCTCAATCCAGCACGCTCCTCCACATTGAGCAGCAACGGTACAAGCTGTCACTGCTTGGCTTATGAAATAGTTAGCTGTTTTGACCATTTCTGCATCGGCATTGCAAAGCCAAGGAAATCCAAAAGGAAATCTTGAGGAACGCAATGGAGGAGGGCCCGGTCTCTGACGTCTGACCCTAGTGAATGCTTCACAAGGCGGTGACGCTAGCAAAATCCACCCCCCTTGTAAAAGCATGCCGAAAATTGTCTCCCACAACTGATCTGATGTTACGTCATGGTCTTGTGACTATACCATAACCTCCACGGCGCCCAGCGCTTGAAGGAATTTGGCTACATCAGATCGCCTAAGTTCCCCGCAGAAAATGTACAAAGCTTTGACGCCAACATTCCCCGGCCGCGACTGCACGCTGGCCTCCGCAGGTAGTCACTCCTTGGCACCGGTCAAGTCTTTGCGCTTGATGGCTGGATGATCTGCATGGCACCCTTTGACTCTGCAGCAGTGCACTCTGTTGCACTTTCCCGGGCACCGCTGGCCTGGCTGTTCCACACGAAGCCTTTGTCACGCCCATCCGGCGTCTTCCATGTAAGCTGCAAGCCATTCATGGCGGGATCGCCCTTGCCATTACCTTTTCCTCCTTTGCCCTTGGGCCCCTTGCCATCCTTGCCTTTTCCATCTTTGCCTTTTCCATCTTTGCCTTGCCGCCTTTCGGCCACTTTGCCGTACACTCCACCAGCGACAGCGCCAATGGCATTGCGAAATGTCTCCACTGACTCCAACGCGTCGGCCAAGGCGCTGCCCTCTTCTGTGACCCTGAGGAGCGGAAGCCTTCTTTACGGAGCCTGAACTCGAACGCCAGCACGATTCCCAACAGCGGTGACCTGTAGACGGTTTCCTGCCCTGTGGAGCACGGGACTGTCAAAAGATTGACCTTTTCTTCGAGGATGAAATCAACCAAGCGCGTGAAATGTGACATGCTCAAGCAGCTGAGCCACGGCTTGGACTTGCACCGTGCTGCCACGCACAGCCACGCAAAGGCCTCAACACGCATGACCCTCCTGTACGCTTCCGACTGCGCATCTCGAGCTTGGCTTTGGTCTGCGTGACGCGATGGGTCCACCAGTGATTGGATTGCAGAGGTAAGCGCGGACTTCTTTGATGAAATCGAATCTTTAAAGTGGGAGGCCAGGGGTTCGTTTGCCTCGACCTGTTCGGCGACGATGGCGAGGCACTCAGCACTACTGTGACAATGACCTCGCGGCGCAATTCCCAGGCTCGCACGAAAGCTACTTGAGCTCCTTTCTGGAGCCCCGCAAAGTCTTTGTCTGTTGCTACTGGCGCTTCCGCTCTGGTACCAGCACACGCTTGGACCGCTTGAACTCGCCGCAATGAACTGTGGACCTTGGCGATTCTGTATCGGGAGTCCAAGTCCATGCCTGACTCACCTAGAACAAGTTGGAGGTCTGCATCAGCCTTTGTCACTAGTTACCTCACTTTGCTGGTTCGTCTGTCACTTGTCACTGCCAGCGCCTGGGATCTACCTGCGCACTACTTCCAGCTCGGCGCACCTGCGCCCTTCCAGCGCGCCTCCGCGCCTGTACCGCCTGGATGTCCGCGCGCAACTGCGTCCTTGCCGGCCTGGAATGCTCTTGTGCCCGCGCTTGAACTTTGCTCATCTCTAAGGGCTCGCCTATTCCTGTTTAAGCATGTGGTCAAACTGCAACTGCTAGCACCACCTCTAACCTGCAGATCTGACGCGTGCGTGTGTTCCTAGGCATTCCAGTCTCAATCACTCAGGGGCAAAGCGCAACTGCACTGCGACACCCTAACAGATCAAACTTGTATTTCTCTCCCTGCCTGAGGTCAAAACTACCAACTATAACTACGCTAGCTCTGCTACGCTGAAGAGCTGACAGACTTGCTGCTTGACGACGCTGCAGGTTCTTCGCCTGCTACTGCACACATGGCACACACATGGACCTTACAATCGTTGCAAACTGCGTCCACGTCCTCACGGCATGCTTCGTTGACAAACTGAACGACACGGCAATTCTGTGGCTTCATGTAACAGCCTGAGAGGCGCAACCTGCGGATACCTGAGGCTTTCGGCGCGACGACACAGTACTTCCCCTCTGAAGGCGGCTGCTGGAGACCTGCGGCTTGAAACGCGGGCCACGCGCCACCCAAGCCTGGCTTGCTGGCAGCATTCAACACAGCGCGGCGACGCATCTGGATCAGCCCTGAGCACTGGCACAACGCACCACTCGCCTTGTATCCCGGAGCGCCTGTGACCAGGGCCTTTCACCTTCCCCTCCTATTTTCCAACGCCCCATATAATCAAGCTTATCTTTATCAAGGCCTAAAGCAGCACCCACAGAAGGCATAAAGTTCCGGGCCGAGCGCCCACCAAAATGGGAGGCCGTGAGGTCTGGCGCAGCAATGGACGCGTTTCGTTGGCATGCCACCTGCTCTCTTCCTTCTTGGGGGCGTCGAGGTTGCTCAAAAGGCGTGGACATGGCAGCGTCTACACCTCACTCAACGGGTTCTGAGAAGTCTTCATTAGCCATAAGCACGAAATGATCACAGGCAAAAAAGTATAGGCAGACCATAACCCTTCAACCAATCCAACCCTGGAGATCGACCTTTCGACGAGGCCTTTCACCCGCCTGGTTCTGCGATCAGGTCCTGTTGTCTTGCTGCGAGCAAGATCAATGCTGAGACCACTGTCGCCCAGGCTCGTGGTGTTTGGCAGTAGCCCCTGCACATCATCGGATCGCACGCTGCACCAAATCATCATTAGCTGCACAAAAGCTAAGGCCCTAAGGTAGATTTGACACCCCTCTCGGCACACGAAAAGTTCCAGCGCAAGTAAGACGACGACTGTGAACACGCTGGCTGAGACTTCTGCTGGCGCTCTCACAAAGTCAGCTTTTCTTTTGCAAGCGCACTCTCGCACCGCTCAACACTTCCATGTAGTAATCAGCTCCTCATTTTGAGATGCCAGTGAAACTGCAGTCTACGCTCAGGTACCTTCAAAGGCCAGGTTTGATGCAATTCCAAGCACACTCCGCCAACTCAAGCAATTCAGGTGAACAGCCGGGGCAATGCGTGAAAACCACATAAGCTCCACCAGGCAGGTAGTACTAGTACCTATGCAAGGCATGTGAACTGGTCACCCAGCTACAATTGGAATAGTTGCGCCATCTCACTTTTAGACGCCAATGGATTCAGATCTGTAAAGACGAGCAATGTCTCCACGCGTTCACTCCAGTAAGTTTAGGATCATCACGCGCCCTCATCAGTCAGCGTCAATCAAGAAACCGAGAATTCCAGCCAGCAGGCAAGCAGGCGAGGGGACGACAGCAGCTGCATCCGAGACCTGGGGAGAGCGTCGAGAACCTGGCTAGGCAGGAGAGAGAGGCGGGAGTAAAATCAGGTCAATGGAGAGAGACACAGCACAGCTGCATGAGGGCGCGCAAGTGAAGAAGAGAGGTAGCAGCATCGCATAGTCGGCTGGCTGAGGATCGACAGGGCATCCACGATCGGGCCTTAGTTCAAATTGCAATCTGCCAAGCGCAGAGAGAACACATAAGGTGGCACTCACATGAAAGAGTCCTCAGGCGGCCACTGGAGTTGCGAAATTAGACAGCGATTACAGTGTTCATGCACAAGTTCAAGAGTGATGCTAGGAAGCAGGGGTGAAGACACCACGCTATGTAGGGAGGCTACATCAGTGCTCATGGGAATGATCGGCTGTCAGAGTGGGGAGTCCAGCTTTGACGCTCCAACGCGTAATCCAGTTGCTTTCATCGCGCTTCCACATGGTCCTGTCCAGGCAGAAATCAAACCATACATCGCAGCCGAGATTTCTCATGACATCCGCATGTTCTTGCCAGCACAAGGAGTCTCGTCCCAGCGGGGTGAACAGCGAGAACCTAGCGTCACGGCGTAGCCCTGCTGGGTGATTCATTTCAACATTCCACCAACGGCGATCTCGCAAGCGAAGGATAGAACGGATAGGCGTAAAGTTGTCTGCCGCGCGGCGCAAGCGTCCTATGAACCGACGGTTGAGCGCTGTCATACTTCTGACCTGCGTGATCCATGCGGAGTCCCTTGACATCATGGGCCATGCTTGGCAATGATCTCGCACACTGGAAGTATTGCCTCACGTGTGGAGCCTGCAAGCTTTAACAGTTTAACACATACGCTTTCTTCTGCTTTGCCTCCAACGCGGCTCTAGAGCCCTTGTCCAATTGACGCTCCAAGCCCTTGCGTTTACGCAGTGCTGACAGCAAGGCAAGCGGATTCCGTCTGGAGACCATATCATAAGATTGCCCTGGGGCGACGCTGCCTTTCAACCGGGCTTCAAGGAAGCGGCCTGCTACAGCTCTACGCGAAATCCTTACCCTAGAGGCTACCCCTGTCTTCCATGAAAACAAAGCATCCGTGAGCATCTGCAAAGAACTCGCTCCCAAGCTGGGCTCCATACTGCGCAGCAGTTCCGCAGCCTCGAAGAAGGCGTCGAAGGAGGCTTCAAAAACATGTGGCCTGACAAAATCTGCTACGAGACGATCCTGGAGGGGATGAGCAATGCTGGGCACTGCAAAAGGGACTACATCATATCGAGACCCACACGGGGCTTCAAGGGTTGCCGAGCCATTTTGGCTTTTTGCAGTGATGTTTCTTCTTACTTCAAGCATCTGTTGAGAACTCTGAAGAGGCCTGTTTGCGCGGATGGGCCTTGGAAGTTTTCGTCAGAGCCCTTACGCGTCGTCGGAGCCACCTGTCAGTGTTTTCAAGGAACATTCGGAGAGATGTACTATTTACTATGGCCACGCTGGCATCCTGCGCCGGGATTGATCGTGAGAGACGTGAGTATCTTGGTCGGTAGAGGATTGTGGCGTCTTGGGATGTTTATCTCAAGTCGGCGTGGCAGATCGTGACTTGTCTGCAGGCTTTCATTTTGAGACCTCTGGCGTGAAATGCAGAGTACCGGCGTGAAAGAGGACGTGCAACGCAAGCCCAAAAATCTCAAAAACATGCAAACAATCTAACAAAAGAGCTGTCCGGGAAAATGCAAACTTTACCAACACACCTGCTGTCTCTTTTAGCAAATACCTTGCGAACAGTCTATGGCAACGTGGCCTTCCGCCAGCTGCACACACCACCCTTCCACCGCTTAATTTCCTATTGGGGTTCTAGATTGGGTCCGAATTCTGAAAGCTTCATCGTGACATCCGAGCTGTTGCGCCAGGCCTTGGAGACGTCCGAGGCTTTCAAGACCCAAGGAGAGTCCAAATGATCATCAACCTTGAAGTCCTTGCCGTCATTCTGGGGGAACGGGGTCCATTGCGTGGCTTCAACTGCAAAGATGTTGTGCGAATGTTTGCTGAACATTCTTACCTTGGCAGCGGCCTCCTTAGCTCGAGCGCGACATTCATCCACTTCCTTGGCCTCGGCTTCTTTTTTCTGCTTGGCTGCTTCCCGTTCCCCGCCTGTCCTTTTGCTTGGCATAGGAGATCACATCAGTTGCGATCTTGGTGAGGCTATTGGCAAACAGGTCCGCTGCAGCTCCGTCTGTCTTCAAGAGGCGGTTGCCTGTCTCCTCCACGCTCTTGGCATCTGTTGCATTGAGAAGCTGACCATCGCATGCACTGTTGAACCGTCCTTGGTGACTTTCACATCAGAGCACATGGAAGCCTTGGAGATAGCCTCCACCACTTCGGCATCAATTCGCTGAACGGATTCTTCTGAAAGAATCGCTCAATTCGCTGAACGGAATCGCTGACTCAGCCTTCCACGCGGACACCAAG